ATATCCTTTTAAGTGGGAGCTAAAGTAAAGTTTTAGAATTAAAGATTCAAGGGAGGAGTAAAAAATATAATGTCATCAAAGTAGGTTATTGCTGGTCTACGTAGGTGTAAATTATCTTTAAAGGTGGTCAAAGTAGTACCAAAATTTCGACTCGGGCCGTTTATCGTTGACTACGGCTCTTGATGTCTCAACATCAATTTTCACGATTAAAATCGTGGCGAGCGAAACCCGCGGCTTCTACGTTATATAAAACGGTTATATAACACATTTTAACAACGCCGCAGGGTCCCAGCGGCGCATTGCGATAATTAGCGGAAGCGTTTTTGTGAAACGGGATTTTATCCGCGGCGTGTAATATCTGCAGGTACGAACGCAAATCCGGCGACGCTTCTTCCCCTTTTACCCTGTTACGTTCGCGGTTCATTGTGCGCCAAACAAAAGACAATGCCTGGCACTCTGAATAGGAACCGCCGGGCCGAAATTTTACGAATGAACGAGTATAATTGCGCTCAACTCGGCGAAATGTCGTCGTTCCTCTTGATGAAATCGCGGCATCTCGGTTTTCCCGTACGCCTTCGGCGCGAATCAAAGAGCGAGGCGGTCCTACGGGGTGCACCCATCATTCTTAATTCACGGAGCGTATTCGACGGACGGGGCGCGTGCACTTCGCAATCTCGCTTTGCGTCCAATTTGCGACGGTAAGTGCTCGAAGCGAACGTCCGAGGTTCGTCAAGTAGGTCGCGTGTCATTTTTCCGCAGAAATCACCGCGATTCTGCCACTCCGGCTTTACTCCGCGGCCGAGATTTACGGTCAGCTGCTCGATCGACGCTGGAAAACACGTTCTCCGATAATAGCAGGTAGAATGAGGAGGGTGCTTCGACTCTTTGTGACCTTACGCTGCGCCGCTGCACGTGATGTTCATCGTGAAAGTTGTACCGTCCTCGTCGCTGGAGGGGACGGGGATAATTTTGAGCGCTCGCGATTACAAACGGGATTGCGAACGTGGAATTTAAAATTTCAAGAAGAGTTCGAACACACGGGAGAGGGAATAAATAGCACAATTTAAATTAGGTAGACTCGGAACGCACGTGCGTTTTAACATCGAGTCGTGCACCCCGCAAAATGCAACGCGGCATGCAAAATGGAGACAAAAGCGCTCAGCGTATGGGTGATTAATGGGGGGGGGGGAGAGGCGGCTCGATTTCCCATTGCTCTTTTTCGAGGGCTGTGTCCTTTTGTACCTCCGTTTCGCGAAATGGCAGGAGTGCCGCTGGCATTGACGGACGACGCGACGGAATTAATCTTCACTCTGCTCCGTTTGGACTCGCGCCCTTCCGCATGCCCGCGCGAGTTAAAACGCCGAATTAAATGTCGATAAATTGCAACGTGCTCGCGAGTAAATCGGCTTAACTGCATCTGCGCAACCAGCCACCTCTTTTTTCCTCGTAGACGCATCAGACGGTAAAATCCCCTGATTTGTAGCAACTTCAGTAGTGTATTTGTAGCATTTGTACCTGCGTTATCTTTTTTCCTAATTGTAGCCGAAATTTCGTAAAAAAAGGAAAGAAAATAAAGATCCCGTGTCGTTTAATTCCGACAACGATCGTGATTTCCGATTGCTGCGCTTAAATTGCGGTTATTATTGCACTCGACTGCGGGCGATTATTGCATTCTAATGGATCTCCCTCTCCCCTCCCCCCCCAGAGCATTGAAATTAAGCGCCTCTGTCGTCACTCGCCGAGAGTGAAAGCAACCAATTACCGGACTCCGTCAATTAACCATAATTGCCGCGAACGGAGGCGAGGGCGAGGTAGAAGGGGAGCGAAAAATAAATATCGTCGATTACGCGAGGGGCGAGTCTATTCTCGGCTCGTGTCGAACGAGAGATCCGGACCATTAGGAAATTGGCCGACTAATAATAGTTCCCTTGCAACGCGAGGACTCGTAACCCGTTACGTAAAGCGACGGGCTCCTTAACGCCCGTGTCTCTTTCTTCAGAGAAGCTCGCACGTAAGAATATACGTGCAAGATGCGCTTACGAGATTGCACTTTTAATTTCCCTTTCAAATCGGAGAAAGGAGTGACGCGAAGGAGAACGATTAATTACAGTCGAATGCCCTTCCGATCAACTTGACGACTCTCGATCGCGATATCTGCCCAACCGTCCGTCCTAGGGTTCGTTAACCCCCCGGTCTGTCGATTAGAGATCAACCTGCGCAATTTATTTCCTTATTATCCCCTGCCGTATCGGGTCCGATTCGCGACTATCTCGAAATCGTTATCTCCGATAACGCTTTCGGAACGGATCGCCGTCTGCCATCCCGTCTCGTGTCTCTTCTTGGCGAGGGAAACCAAAGGGGATAGAGGACTGATGTGGCAATTCCCCGTTCGCGTAAAAATCCGCAAAAGTGGCTGATCCAATTGAGCGAACCCTCTCTCGACGGCGACGACGATGACGACGACGGCCTTGAGAGGATCTGAACGGGAAAAAGCGGAACGCACTTGGAGCGGGCGTCCCGACTGCACGACGGTGATAAATGGTGCAATTTTATGGGCAGCCGATGCTCCCCGGTCCGGCGCGGTTGACCCGCTTAAACTACGAAAATTATTCGCCGTAAAACGACGGCGCGCGTCAACCGCACGAACGTCGAACGAAAGCCGGAGCCAAGACTCGCGGAGAGTCTCCCGCGAGGAAACGCCGTACAGGGAGATGGATATGAAGAATCTAACAAAGCACGTGCTTTGATACGAGCCAACGTTCTTTACCCAATGCCTTTCGGCACCAGAAGGAGATGACGAACCAAATTTCTACCTTGAAACGTTCAACGTCTCGTATCTATCCCGAGATTTCGTCTATTGGGCAACGAATGTTAATACCGCGCTCTCGGAAAGGATTTCCACTAATAAGACAACTGCTCTTGACTCATAAAAAATTTTCACAGCCTCGTAGTATACAAATCAGACATTAAGATGAAATCAATGATTTCTATTCTCTTCTGTCGAATTAAATAAGAGTCGAAAAATAGACGCGAAGACAACGTCTTTATACTGTTATCGCGATAAATATTACCACATACCTCGGTGGTTGAATTGGCGAAACGCCCGCCTAGAGTGTAGGGACGTCCAGGTTCAAACCCTGGTTGAGGTAATATTTTCGTCGCTTAACTTTAAGCTCGGCTCACGTTCATCCTTCGTCTCTTTCCAACTGTCACTTTAGAGAGAGACAAACGTGAATTAAACTACGATTAAAGTTAAACGACGTTCGGTGAAACCGGGCCTGAGGTACGTGCGACGCTACGCGCGAGGGGCTGACGTTTCGTTCTTCGCGTTGCGCGCACTTTCGCTTGGCAACACCTGGCGAGAAGAGTATATGGTACGCACGGTGACGCGTAATCGCAAGGCCGCGGCAGCGCGCCTCCGGGGGTCGGTCGAGTGACCCCCGCGGAAGAGGAGGGGGGGGGGGAAGCAAGGGATCAATTAACTATTTCTTTATAATCGATCGAGCGAAGGGCGTAAATCTCGCAGTATCCTCGCGCGGATCACTAGCTCGGGCCGCGCTGATTATTAACGCGCGATAACTCATCCGTTTTATCGTCCTTATGCGCGCCGCGCCGCCAACACTCGCGCACGGTCGACCACCACTGTTAAACGCGCGCGCCGTATAATTTATCCGATAAGTCGCACAGTGATTGGTCATCGATGTCGGATATAATTATCGCAACGGGGCGGAGGATCCGGTCAGCGATGACGCGCGTTGCCTTGGAGCAAACGAGCGCGCTGCGCCTGGCGGGAAATTAATAGGCCGGCGCAGGAAACGGCGGGCGCCGTTTTTCCTTAACCGGCCCGCATTAGACGCTAATTTACGGGAGGGGAGGGAAGAGGAGGGGGAGGAGGAGGAGGAGGCGCGATAAATCTTCATTAGCGCGAACAACACCGCGGGATTAATCATATCGCTTGTCCGTTGTTGAAGAAAGGTCACCTCACCCCCGTGGCGAGGATGTTGCCCGCTTCGTATCGCTGATCGCCACTTCACGGTTGATCTCTCTCACGGATCGGAGCCGCGACTCGGGCGATATAATAATACGCGGTCACGCGATACGTCGTTTTTCGAGTGGTTGGGAGGGGGGGGGAAGAGAAAGAGTAAGTAGAATAGAATCTTTATTTATTAAACGCCCTGGAACAAGTCCCCTAGAGTGTTAGACAAAGCTACGCAGAAAAATAATCACGAGTGAGAATGAGCTTTTGTATAATAAAAAAGTAGAACTCGCAGACAAATTTAATATCGCCAGTAGTTGGAAAGCGATGATGTGTAATTTTGAACGGCCTGCACTGGCCAATGTTTTTATTTTAAAAACACACAGAAAATTATTAAAGATCTCGTATCGATCTCATATCGGCCAATAATTGACATGAGATCTTTAATAATCTTGTGGACAGATTACTTGAGAAGGGTCCAAATCCGGGACCGAAACGTTGCAGTGTGTTTTTAGATTAAAAATATTGGCCAGTGTAGGTTGTGTAAAATTACATATCAAAAAATTAGAATATAGAAAAATATATAGAAGTAACGACGTAAAAATCTATTCTGTCCATGGAATCATGCGCGCGATTTTTCTCTTACGTTACGATTGTCTCAAACGCAACTCGAGCAGCTGCTACGTCCACATGGGTTGCTGAAATGTCCTTAAAAAGTATCGACGCGCGGAAAGAAAAATGTAATTGCCGTATAGCTAAAAACTGCATGTGGCAACTAAATTCCAGTCCAAATATGGACAGTCCAAATAACATTTAAGTTGTGATAGCTAAATACCTTGCCACTGTGCCTATTGTATTAGGTGCGACAGCAAACCGTCTGCTGTGGTTTAGAACTTTATAGTTATTGCAGCAAAGTATTGTTAGCATACCACGACTAGCTGCGGTAGCGAAATTTTGTTTTTCAGTGCGACGCGACAGAGGCCGGCTAATACTTCCGTAGTTTTCTTAATTACTCAAAGGTAATCGCGAATGGCGATCGTTCGGCGAAACGGTCCATTTTCGTTAATTGGCTCGCGAGATACCGCCGGCGAGAGTCCGGCCGTTACGCGTCTTAACGCCGACGTTTCCCAATCTCATCCGTACTCGTTCCGCTCGACAGGGTACGAAGCTGTGGATCATCATGGAGTATCTGGGTGGCGGCTCGGCCCTGGACTTGATGAAGGCCGGTAGCTTCGAGGAGATGCACATCGCCGTGATATTACGCGAAGTGCTCAAAGGGCTGGATTATCTGCACAGCGAGCGCAAGCTCCATCGCGATATTAAAGGTACGTCCGCTCGATAAGGCGCGAAGGATGTTTTATTGGTACTTTAACGCTCCTCGTGCAAAAAGTGTCGAAAGATATCGCGCTGTTCGCTCGGGCGATTCGGGCGAGGCACCGAATATCATGCCGATCGTCGTCTCGCCCGTGCGACTGAAAACCCGCGTGAATCAACCCGCGTTAAGGTAGTTAGGTCAAAAATGATGAAGCTGATTTTCTTTAAACTTGCAGCGAAACTAATTTAGATATTAATATATGTATACGTATGTGTGCAAAATTTGGGTTTGGCTTACCGTATATTTTCCGAGATATAATCACTTAAAATTAACTGTTTTTAACATTTCGCTTATCGCCGTTGGCCGCTGAGGTAGAAAACCTGACACATGGACATGTATTTGTCAGCAGCAAAAAATCTATAATAAGGATTGAAACAAAAAATCGAGCAAAAGTAGTTGAATGTTTGAAGAAGCGCACGTTTAAATCTCAACGACGCTGACCGTGCGGGATCAGAGTATGATAAATCCAAAGAAAAATTTGGCTAGGTCAACTTTTTCGTGCACGGTCTTTGCGGGTGTGGTAACGTAGGTTGTGCCATTCTCTTTGTTTTCTGGGTGAAAATGTTCTTTGCGTTTTCGCTTCTGCTCTAACACTTTGCTTTTTATAAAACGTCCTTTATATCGCAACTGATTTTTCATTGTGAGAATCAAAATATCTTTTCACAATTTGTCGTATTCACGATGAAATGTGATGTTGCCACGATCAACGCTCTGCTAACACTAAGCAACCCTTACGGAACAAAAACACTCAAGTTTTGAGCGTTGACACTCGATTGTCCGAATTTTCTGTCAAATTTGGGCGTAAACGAGTGTTAACACTCAAAACTTGAGCGTTTTTTCCGTAAGAGAATTCAGAATACTATTTAATTTTCTGTAACTCTTTTTTATTTTATTTTTTAATATTCTAAGAGAAGTATAGTGTTTAAAAATCTGTCCTTGAATTTAGTACAAAAGAATTCATTGTCTATTGAACTTTATTGACCGAGTCTCATTTTGACTAGCACAGTTGGGAAAGAACTGCCTCAACTGCGATGCGAAATTCTGTTAAAAAGTAGTCGAACGTTACGGCGTTGATTTAAGTACGTAAAAATTGGCAGACAGTTAAATTTGTCCGCCTTTGACGGAGCGCGTATACCGTATTTTATTTGGTTTCGTATTGATTTAAAAACGGGAGATTAATTCGCGCGGACAAACTTTTGTCGATCCTGCAGCGGCGAATGTTTTGCTGAGCGAGATGGGCGACGTCAAGCTAGCCGACTTCGGTGTGGCCGGTCAGTTGACGAACACCACCAGTAAACGAAATACCTTCGTCGGTACGCCGTTCTGGATGGCACCCGAAGTCATCAAGCAGTCTGCTTACGACTCCAAGGTAATTGCCTTAATTAAATTCCGCCATATACTGCGGTATGCGTCCCCACATTGCCGTAAATTAGGTTTATTGGGTTTATACGCGCATAACGTACGCACGAAAGTGTCTTCATGCACTTTCCGAAATTACTCCCGAATGCGTATCGTTATCGTTCGCGTAGATATTCATCCCTATCGTTTAATCATTCGTAGTATTACTTGCAAGATAAAATCCTTTGTTAAAATTAATTGTCTTGATACGCCGGTCGTTTCTCTTTACCTTCTCTCTCTCTCGTGCGCTGCTTAAAAAATTGTCTTGAAAGTGGCGGCGCGGTCACGTTTCCATTAGCGTTTCATTAGCGCTTGATCCGGCAAGTGGTGTAACTCTGCGAACGCTTGTCCCGCAGGCTGACATTTGGTCCCTGGGCATAACGGCGATCGAGCTCGCGAAAGGAGAGCCACCAAATAGCGAGCTGCATCCCATGAGGGTTCTCTTCCTAATACCCAAGAACAATCCGCCGCAACTGACCGGGAATTACACGAAGCAGTTCAAGGAGTTCGTCGAGGCCTGCCTCAACAAGGATCCCGAAAACGTGAGTTGTATTCATGGCTGTCCGCGTTTCGTATTAATCAATCGCGTCTCGCAGCTTCGGAAATACTTTCAACGTTGTCGAATCACTTCCGACGCCGTCCCAGCAATAATCACGAAGAGGTAAAGAATGAAGAGCGAAGAGCAGCAGTGGGCAATTAGTTTAACGTTCAATTGATAAATAAAAAGTATTAGCATTCACGTAACATAGTCGATTTTGATTTATCAACCATTGCGCTCGTGTCTGTGCAGAGGCCGACGGCGAAGGAGCTGCTCAAGTTCCAGTTTATCAGGAAGGCGAAAAAGAACTCGTACCTGATCGACCTGATCGACAGGTACAAAAAGTGGAAGTCACAGCGCAGCGAGGAGTCGGAGACCGAGAGCGAGAATTCGGACTCGTGAGTACCTCGTTTCGCGTCTCTGTCACATTTCTTACGAAAGTAAAAGCCGCCGCTAGTTATTTTCGTACGTTCGGGCTCTTCTTCTCTTTCCGCCGTTAATTCCATAATAAATTTATATCTCGGGCGCGCAAGAAGGAGGCAAACCAGTTCGAGGCCGTTTATCAATTGCGCGGCATAATAGGCCACCATCCGAGCGCGCGGTACTAAATTGTAACACACTGCATTACACGGTGTTCAGGGAGGAATCCAAGCAAGACAGCGACATGGACGAGCCATGGATAATGACGGTGAAAGGCCCGCACGGGGTCAAAGGATCCGTGGTGCCTATGCTGCCACTGGACGAGCAGCCCACATCCCTGACCCTAACGCATACAAACCATAGGTCCTCCAATCACAGCCAACCGAATAAACCGCACGCGAACGGCGCCTCGCGATCGCCGCCGAAGGACACGACGCTTAATCATTACAGAAGCGAGTCCAGGGATTCGTTGCGCGACGGCCAAGCGAAACACACGCCTGTACGTTGCCGTTCCAATGATCGACCGTGTGACACCTCGTGTCCTGATATTTGTGCCATTCTCTTACTTTCTTCTTCCCTTGTAGTCCCGACCACACGAAGCCGCGCCTCCACCGCCGGTGGACACGAGAGAGAAACGAGATGAGCGGGACTATCGTGACTCCAGCCGCGAGTCCACGCTCCGAGAGTCGAAGGAGATGCGCGATAGCCGCGAGAGGGATAGAGAAGTCGTCAGGGAACGAGAACGGGACAGGGAAGGCAGAGATCGGGATAGAGTGAGCAGGGACTTCAACTCACGGGAGAAGAGGAGGAACAGCAAACCCGACGTGCCCATCACTTCGATGGCCGATCACAGACCTGGCGAGGATAAGCAGAGGCCCAGAAGTTCGCAGGAGCTCAAGCATCCGCGAAGCGTCGCTCTGTCCGGCGTTGTTTTTCCTCTCCTTTCCGAGGTACCGTGCACTGAATATACAACAGTACGATAAAGATATGAAAATTAGTGAGAATCTTTAGGAATGACCGGGTGTTTCCAATAACGTTGCAGCTCCAACGAAAGCACCAGTATTCGGCGAGAGACAATAACGGCGAGGGCGGCAGTGGTGGCAAGAACGGCGGCGCTGTAGAAGAACTACGAAGCGCCTTCGAGTCGGCGGAACGCACGTCGCCGGGAATGACAGAGTCCCTAATCCGCGAACTGATCAAATCCCTACTCCCATCCAATCATTCAGAAGGGCGCCTATCTATGCTAATGGAGAAGGTTATTTTAAGGTAATATTCTCGTGAGCATACGCACCACCGCGGTGTATTTGCGCAGGAGGAACAACGTGCTCTTCTGTTTTAGGGATACGTAGGGACGCGAGAGGACAAAGGTCCGCAAGAGACTGTGGTCCCAGAATATCCTGACGTTGTAAAACCATACGTTATTTCTCTCGATTATCAATTTACTAATCAATACGAGCCGAGCATGTCGCCAATGAGCGGCGATTCCGAACGTGAACGTGAAGGTGCGAGGGAAATGTGTTTGTTGCCCCGTCATCCCGTTCCCTCCCCGCTCTTCCCCACCCTGCGCTGATCTATAAAGGCCGCACTACAACGAAGTCTATCGAAGTTTTACGAAGTAGTCTACTGAACCGCCCCATTTTCACCTGCCTACCTCGCCGTAGGGTAAAAATACGTAGACGACGGCAGATAAACGCGCAACGTTGTGCCAGTATTCTTGCAGTTCCTACTCGTGTAATTGTCATCGATCCTTTTCTCACCTTCTCGATTCAACTGTCCTACATTTACACGCTTTTCCGCGTCGATTCGTCGCCCGATAGTTCATTTCAATCACGAATCGATTCATCATTATGGAATTTCCATATTCTTTGATTGTTTGAATCATCTAATTTTCAATATTCATTGCTTTATAATTTTTTCAAGGAATCACGTCCACAGGATACGACTTTATATTTTGTTTTATATCAATAAAAAGCTGTAGCGTGACTTAATGAAGAGCAACTCGTTATAAGAGTACGTCGTTTTTAAAATCTACTAGACGAAAAGAACTGTCGGTTGATTCCATTTTTTACTACCTTAGACATTAAAACGTTCTTTAGTGTTAATAGATCATTTACAAAGATTGGAGAGTAAAGGAGCGTATTCAGTTCAATAGCTGCAAGTTTTACCTTGGACGAAAAAAAAAGGTAACGATTTAGCGATCCTATGGCAATCAGTTACGAGTAGAGAAAGGCGGAAAATAGGCGGTAGTGCGTTTGCGAAAAAGTTGAATCGAAACCTCCGTTACACGCGATAGCCTAATAAATATCTTAAACCTTCTTCATGTTCGGCGTGAGCATCGATCTGGCGATACGACAACAAAACAAAATTGTACAGACTCGGCAAAACGGATAGATGAAAAGTATTCGATGACTTGGTCTTGCCTCAATATAGATAGGTCCGTGGCATGCACTAGCGAGATATCTCGCGCATAGAAAACGTGATCTGTATAAAGAAAAGCTTTTAATTGTACGGAGCTTTGAGAGAGCGATACTTTTATTGATGTTTTTTACCGAGAGAACATGTATTTAATAGAGTGTTTTGAAGAAAGAAGGTCTCGTAGTGGTCTAGCAAAAGGTACGATGTGTTCTTTGAGTAGATTTCCTCCCGTGGCTTCCTACGCTAGTGCATGTTCCGAACGCGAAAGAAGAGAGCTCTAGCGCGCGCGATGCTAGAGGAATTGTAAATATGTATGTAGCGCGATAAGATAGTCTTATTGTTCTGATCGACGTCTTTGCCAACCGGTCGCACAGCTCCGTTAAACGATCTTGTTACGAAGAGAAAAAGAATTCCTTTCCCTTCCCATGGTCACATCGTTCGTCATTGAAGAAGATGATAGACGTAGGATACAGGCAATAATTGCCGTTACAAATTTATCGAGGGCTTTTATCGTTTTCGTGTAGTTTTCGCTTGTTGCGTAAAAATTGCAGATAAGCCGTTACAGTGTTTCAGAAACCGTACGCGACGTATATAATAGCGTTTAAAAATATATATAATTAATTTCTAGTTGTGTGTGAAAACCCACTTGAAAATGGTCGAGAAACAATGATATTTTAGAACTCTATCATCTCCAGTATGCGTACATCTACGAAAGACGCTTCGATCTTTCCACATCGCGCCTTAAAATATCGCATTGCGTCATTAACTTAGAGTAACAATGGGGGTCGTTTCACGTTAACGTCGTCGTTAAACTGTCTGTACATCACCGAATTGTACAACGCAATTCGACAGTTGGAGCGAGAAAGCGAGACAAAAGCGCCTTTTATAAAACTTTGAATTCTTCGAGACAATAGTTTGCGTGAAACGACTCGACAATCGATTCAGACGGAATTTACCCACACGAGGAGGTACGAGAAGTGTTTCTTCAACTTTGAACGCGCGGTGCGTTCGAACAGCGACGACCAGATTACATAGATATATACATAAATACATATGTGTATGTATATGTGTATACATTACGCGGAATTTGAGTACTGCCGTTCTTCCAGACTTAACTTGCGTTGTACACACGAGTATTTCTCGAATTCACCGCACTTGATTTTCACGATCGAGTCTGAGCTGCGATGACTCCCGCGCAGGGCGTCGACACTTAATCCAACGTTGTTTGTAAACTAATGTATTTTATAAAATATATTATATATAGAGAGAGAAAAGGAAATTCCACACGCATACACACGAGCATACACACATGTACACGTGCGTAAAAAAATATATATATAGAGAGTTCTATAGAAAAATGTCATCTACGGGATGGTCGGAGAAAAGTCTCGCTCTTCCGACAGAATGCAAGGACCATCCTGCAAACGGTGATTTAAAAGAAGATACAAAAGGGTGATAGAGCAAGAGTGAGAAAGAAGAGGAGCGAATTTGTGAACGAGGATACGTCAATTAACGGTAGAAATCGAAAAGTGAAATGGCAAGGAGACTTAATTACGTTACCGCGTTACGATTATTGTACTAATCTGTACGATTTGGTTTTCTTTTTCTCTCTTTTTTTCCCCTTAAATTTAGTTCTTTATTTAGATAATTATATTTGCCGAGAAACGAAAAAGTGACCATTATAAAAAATCTTTGCTCCACCGCCTTTTCTTTTTCTCCGTTCTGTTCCTCTATCGCCCGTCTAGATGGGGAATAAGTCAAACTACACGATATGTATCGAGTTTATTTTTAGTTGAGTTACGTTTAATCTTCATTTTACATTGTACTGTTAATATGGTCATTTTGTGTCGGCCGAATCAAACGATTTTTTCGGTCTCGAGCCGCGAAGGGGAGGAACGCTTTTACGGCAATCGAGAAAGAACCGCTTGACGAAGCTCGACACGATTTGAGCCACGTCAACTATTGTTGTTTCCCTCGCCTTTTGAATTTTAAGTTCCGTAAGTTTTCTGGTCCTCACACGACGATCGCTACCGCGAGTAGACCTCATAACGCTGCCATAAACGCTTACCGGTTACATCTACGCGTTCACCTACGGTGGTGCACCCGCGCGAGAGAGTTGGTGAGAGGAGACTTAGCTAAGTAGGCTGTGTAAGCAGTATGCTTGTTAAAAAGAATTATCAGGTCACCCGCGTAGCAGCGATCGATTTTACGTTCAACAATCATTCGTTTTACGGAGAACATGCGTTCCCCCCTACCCCCCCCCCCCCCGATGGCCGTCTTCGGTCAGCGGCCGCTGTTGTATATGCAGACTATATGTACGAAACTATCGTCTAAGAGTATTAATCCGCCAGCGAGAGGATCGGATGAGAACCGCGTGTCCGCGACGCGCCTCGAGAAGGCGCCTAACACATTTACATTTTCATTTCTTCTCATATTTAAGTCAATTTATTCTATTTCCCACTTGTGCCGCAGCCGTCCAACGTTACCACTGGCGGACACCTAGATCATCCCCCCGCCGGCATTGAGCGCGTCTGCGAACGGAGTTCAAAAGCTGGTGATTATCTGACCGGGATAAGATCGAGGCACCGGGGGGGGGTTTTTTTTTCTTTTTACTTTTCTTTCGCCACTCTTTCCTTCGGCCCGAGAAGAGAGGCGTCTCGTCGCGCGTCAATCGAACGGACTTGCGCTCGGAGCGCGAACAGGGTATGGAAAATTGGGGGAATGCAGTCGGGAGATCCCGCGAAAAATTCGCGATCGAGCGTTTCTGTGCCTGTCGGCAGAAATTCCCCCGGGCTTTCGTCGAGCACCGTTTCGCGCGTACGCACGACTGGCAAACGCTGAAACTGTTCTTCTGGGTTTTCCCCCCCTCCCCCTCTCCGCGCACGTGGATTACGAACGGACATGACGGGCGCCGAACTGTGATTGATCGATTCTTCGGAAGTTCGTTCCCTCCCTCCCTCCCTCACCCCCATCTAGTTTATCACGGTCGATCGAGAGCCGCGTTGGGTTCTCGCTCGATCGAGGCAACGGCGATCGGAGAGAGAGGCAGACGCGGTTACCGCGAACCGCACCGCATTCAATCCGAATTACGCGTCCTACCGTGTCCCCCCCC